TGGGGCAATGGTTAGAACGTGCGCGCTGTATCTTAAGGTCTGTCATTGAGGTCTCTGTATCTCTCTCTAGTTTGAAATGGAAGGTACAAATAGAAATATACGGGTTGCAAATATAACAGCAGTTGGAAATGAAATGTATTGGTAGGAAATGAAATATACGCGAATGGTATATAGATTGAACTTGCGGTTGGCAATGAAATAATATGGGTAGCCTACTCCTCCGGGTGGTAGGCGGGCGGGCAGATCAGGTAGAACAATTTCAATAAGCCTCTGCTGCTTTCGCAGGAATGAAATTAGATTAAGTTTGTATTTTATCTACTTTGTGATAAACAAAAGTGCAAAGAAATGCGTTTTCAATGTATCAGTAAAGATACAAAATTTCACAGAATACGGAACTTTTCACATGTGTGCTACTTCCATCTACACACGATGTCGGTTTCGCTGTCTACGCTTCGCTGTGAACCAAGGTGTTCATATGCACTATGAAGCTTCAAATGACAACTAAAAAGGGCTTCTGGGTCTGTATTTTCAATAAAAGCGCAAACAATTTGCAAGAATGTTAGGTTTATTATATCAAACGAATGGCGAATAACCATCCTTATGGCTCTAGGCTATTCGCCATTCGAATGGCGAATATCCACTCCGTTTCAGCTGTAATAAATATAACACTCTTAGAAATTCAAAATTTACGCCAATTTTCAAAAGCAATCCGCTCATCTCGTGCGATATATGTTATAAATCCCCCAAACGAAATTGCTAGTCAGGTTGCTTCATAATTTATCACGCGTGGATTTGTCTCCTTCACGCTTGAAGTGTTAGGTTGTACATCGGAATTTAGTAAGCATTTCCATTGCGCGCGCGAGATCTCGTCGAAATTGGACATACTCTGCACTACTGGGATAACATACTTGGTTAATGTGATTAACTTAAGCGTGTATGGAACGAGGTGATATTATTGCAGTCTGGAACGGATCGCTTATCACAGCTAAGTGTGTCTAGTTTTAGCGTAGCGTTATACATTTTCACTTTTGTATGCTGTCCTTGTTTCAATAATAAGACGAGTAAAGCAAAGGTGTGTGTTAATATTAAATTACACACACACACTCTCTCTCTCTCTCTCTCTCTTCGGGTTATCGAATGACCTACCTATGCTAATACCACTGAGAACCCTACATGTGTAGTTACCATTATCTGATATTTCTACGGACTCTATATATAGATGTGTTATGATCTTCGACTTCCTGACCATTCTTTATTCACTTGAAACGATGTATTGGCACCACGGGATTAGATTCATCAACAACACAAGTCATCAGGAGTTGTCTCCCTTCCATTAATTTTATAAGGATTGGTCGATGGTTCAATATGAGAGAGAAATGGGATTTGGTACAATTTTGCCCGGTTTGAGCTGACTTGCCATAAAATAACATAACATTTCATTCATTCATTCATTCATTCTGTCTGGCAGTGGTACAAACACTCCAGCTAGAGTTTTACTATATTCAACATAGACCAACCTGAGGGTCCTTACTTCAACCGGCCATCGGTTTGCTGACGGAACCTTTAAATTTGCACCTGAAATACTTTACCAGGTTTACACTATACATGCTCTTATCAACAACCACATAGATCCATGTGCATATGCTCTACTTACAAACAAGACCAAGGATACCAATCTCCGGGTGTAGTATTAGGTCGGATCTTCGTCCTTTATCTGTCTTGAATGACTTTGAGATAACTGAAACAACTAATTGCCCTTTTCATCTCTACCGTAAAATGCAGACGTAAATACCTGTTGCACCATGGGTCATTTGTCAGACGTGGGGAGCAGCAGACTGGAAACCGGCGTATAACCCATGGATGGTTTCTTACTAAATATTTAGGAACAGCCCTTCATCGTCTAGGCGTTGGTTGGCTCTGGTCTTGCTACTGTTGCATCGTTCTTCTTGTAGGACTTCACCATTGTGTTTTCTTACGAAAGTAACAGGAACAACGATAGTTGGTCTTCTATACATTTTTATGTCACAGCAGTTACACAATAGTCTACATTACAATATCTAAAATTAACATCTTCTCTCAACCCCACTCCTGTAAAGGTCTAACCAGCGTGGCTAGACTCAGGTATTGTTCATAATATTCACCTGTGATAACTTTGTGTCTGTCACTGTGTGGATGTCATTATAGACAAGGTGTGACGAAAACTGAACCTATATAATTATAACAGTCTATTTTAACGGACATTCAAATGGATATATCTTTGGAAATATAACACGCAGGTACAGGATCTTGATACTTAATAATAGGGGATCGTCTAGGGCTGCTGTATATATAGATATAATGCTGTAACTGTAAATAGTTTTCGAGATTTTGTTTAGCTCGGGGCACCCTACCTGGTGGGTTTATTTCTCATATTCCGGTTTCCTTCCCATTATCGTGACACATTCACCCAAGTAATTTATTGAACTTACTGGAATAAAAATATATCTAATGTTGTTTGCACTGTTAAACATACATTATTCAAGAGCTAAATCTGCCTATTGTAGGTCTTTCTTTAGTCCTTACATGTTATCTAAATTATTAATCATAAAATGTTAAACTATAACATTCCTGGAATTAGAATATATTGCTCTTCACAAAAATGATAATAACAAACGAATTACTTTCAAAATAAAAGCAAAAGTCAAAATGAGCAAATTTTCTAGGGTTTGTAGGGGAGTTTATACTATCGCTATCACTATTTAGGGTGTTTGGAAAAGTTGGACCATGATAAATTTATGAAACATTTTTATACGCCCACATGTTCATTTCGACGTATATTGTCGTCGCCTCTGGCCGTCCGTCCGTCCTTCCACAATTGTTTGTGACCAGTCTACAGGTCACAATTTTTATCCGATTTCAATGAAACTTGAAATATAGGTTTATCCCCCTCTGATTTCGGTTCCTTTCGATATTGCCATGTATCGGACTGTAACGTCATGGATTATGGCCCCGGATTGTACGAAAAATCACCCTTTTAGCTTGTGAACATTGAAGAGGTCACAATTTTTATCCGATTTGGTTTAAACGTGAAATGTATGCTTATAACCCAAAGATCTCAGTTCCTTTCGATATTCGCGCATATCGGAACGTAACTTCCTGAATTATGGCCCCTGATTGTACGAAAAATTGCGTTTTAGCTTTTGGACCCTATAGAGGTCATAATTTTTATCCGATTTAAAAAAAAAAGTATTATTGTATCACCGTTACATCCTAAGGGCGGCCGAGTTCGAATTTCGTGAAAATCGGCCAAAACTGACAGACACAATGGCCGCCCCTCGTTATCAAATAGCGTAAAAATATGGTATATCAAAGTTGTGGACCCTATAGAGGTCACAATTTTTATCCGATTTTGTTGAAACTTGAAATGTAAGTTTATAACCCAAAGATCGTGGTTCCTGTCGATATTCGCGCATATCGGACCGTAACTTCCGGAATTATGGCCCCTGATTGTACGAAAAATCGAGTTTTTAGCTTGTGAACCCTATAGAGGTCATAATTTTTATCCGATTTAAAAACAAACGTATTATATCACCGTTACACCCTAAGAACGGCTGAGTTCGAATTTCTTGAAAATCGGCCCAAAACTGACAGACAAAATGGCCGCCCATCGTTCTCAAATAGCGTAAAAATATGGTATACCCATCTTACAAGACGATAGGATAAACTATTACCGGCAAAATAAATAGACCAGCGGCTGCCAGGCAGATACGCCCACATTTTCGAGAGATGGTAAAGAACAAGCTAAAAAGAAAGTGATTTTTCCTACAATCAAGGGCCATAATTTAGGAAATTACAATTCGATATGGTATATTCTGTGGTATTTTTCACCACAAGAGTTCTACAAGATTTATTGGACATAGAAAACAAAATCACATCCCCCTGTGCGGTACCACATTCCACAAGATTTTCGAATAATTTTGATGGAGTGTTTTTGGCCTGTGGTGTTTTTTTACCACAAGAGTTTCACGCGATATTGGACATAGTTATTTATTTGTTTATTTAATCTTGATGTGGATGATATAACAGGACATTTTACTTTTGATCGCCATAAATGAAAGGAATTGGGTTTAACGTACTGATTTTCTGCAACTGGTGGGATAATGAAAATAAATGAAATAAAGTGAGTTTAACGTACTGTTTTTCTGAACTGGGTTAATGAAAACGGGCAATCACCGTGTAGTGTGCCATGGGGGAGCTTTTGCTCGGACAGCAGTTTAAAATAGTATTTTCCGACTGTGGAAGGGCGGAGGGGGGGGGGGGAGAATAGCCGCGAGACAAGATAGCTAGAGTAGGAAATATGATAAAACTTACCATAAAAACTTCATTCATTAACAGGGGGATTGGATGACCGAATGGTTAGCACGTGCGTGCTGTGTCATAAGATTTGTCATTGAGTCAACTGGCGTGGTTTCGAATCCCCGGTTGTACGTGACAAGGAGTAGGGTCGCCAGCCCGGCCTCATGGGGTTTCTCCGGGTTCTCCGGTTTCCTCCCACTTCAAAAGACCCCTACGCGCAAGCGAATTATTGAAATAAAATTAAACCATATGTTAGTCCGGAAATGACCTAGGTTGTGTCGAGTGGACGTTAAACCCCATTTCTCTCATTCATCAACAATCGAAGTCTGGCCACGTTTGATTTTTGAAGATATAACCATTTTGGCATGTTTGAAAAATTGGTTGAAATTGTGTTCGGAGCACATTATCAAGGCAGTTAACTCTTTGTGGCAAAACAAGTTATGGATCTTGGTAAAAAAAAAAGTTAGAATTACGTCCCTGGAATGACGATTTCCTCATGACGCTTGGGAAACATCGTTTATTTTCTTGCCGCGAAGTAACGGAATACACTCTATGAGACGATCGAATTTTCAACATCTGTACGCATGCGTAAATGCTTAGGTTTTTTACGACACGCCAACGCCTTCAAATGCCTTTTATTAAAATATTAACTCCTTATAATACAGTGGCAATTAAAATACACATTTAGCTGGATATCACAAGATCGACGTTTGACATGAATTGTTTAAAGATTAGTCTAATATTAAAATGAATAGTGGTTCCATCTCTGTATCCCCACAGACATCGATCTGTTTATAATGGCATGGTAGAGAGAGAGAGAGGGGGGGGGGGATGCCTATAAATTAAATAATTTATCACATTATTGCTAGTCCCATAGATAAATAAATATATTGTGCAGTATAATGTTTGTTATGGAAAAAGAACAATTTGTCGGATAAAGTAGAGGGAAATAGAATGGCATGTAATACGGAGTAACATGGATAAATCCCTTTATAAATCTAATAAATTAACATTATATTTGTCACGCATATAAATCAATATATTGTGCCGTATGTTTGTTATGAAAAAAGAACACATTGCTGAATAAAGTTCGAGGAAAATATTCTACAAAATAATTTAATAGGACACTTTAAAAATAATTTACACCAAGTTACCGGAAAGTGTCTGGAAAATAAAGACTAAAAATAAATTTTGTTGTCCCCCGCCTTTCGAAGAAAGCAGTGAACTATTAAAATGGGTTCGTCCGTCTGTCTGTCCGTCACACCTTTTGGGACACAATAACTCTCCTTCTAATTGACCTAGAATGTTCAAACTTGGTGCAGCTGTTTATTAGGTCAATGCCTTGATGGAGTTCGAAGATGAGCATTTTCTGCTTAGGGTAAGCAGAGAAAAGCAATTTGATTGGTTGATGCTTTGGGACACGATAACATTAGTTCTAATTAAGCGAGGGTGATGAAACTTGGTGTTTAGTTTCATTACATCAATACCTTGACTAAGTTCGATAATGAGCGTTTTCTGCTCAGGGTAAGCAGAGCGATAATCAATTTGATTGGCCGAGACTTTGGAACACAATAAATCTCCGTCTAATTGAGCTAGAATGTTCAAACTTGGTGTAGGTGTTTATGAGGTCAATGCCGTGATAGAGTGCGAAGATGAGCATTTTCTGCTTATACTAAGTAGAGGTAAGCAATTTGATTGGTTTATGCTTTTGGACACGATAACTTTAGTTCTAATTAAGTGAGAGTGATGAGACTTGGTGTATAGTTTCATTACATCACTGCCTTGACTAAGTTCGATGATGAGAATTGTCTGCTTAGGCTAAGGAGCAATAAGCATTTTGATTGGTCAAGACTTTGGAACATAACAACTCTGCTTCTAATTGAGGTGGAATGTTTAAACTTGATGTTCGTCTTGACGTAGTTCAATGATTAACATATCGAGCTAAAGCTAAGCAGAGATAAGCAATTTCCTTGGTCGATGCTTTGGGACAACATAACTTTGCTGCGATCATCTTCGAGTCCACGTGCGCGTGATTTTAAAATCAATATTTGATCTACAATTCAGAAATTTGTCATGCCAGATTTAAAAGATGTATTTTTGTTTAATTTAATTGTAGTATAAGATGTTTTCAAGATATCACCATAGAAACCAATTTATTATAAACGAATACGTTCCTGGTGCCATTTGATGATGTTGTTTTTAAATTATCTATTAATGTGATATATCTGAATCACGCGTCAAGGATTTAAATTATTCGACCTTATCTGACCTATTCAATACGTATATATGTTCTAATAATAAACGGAGCAAAACAGTAGGACGTTAAACCCCATTTCATTTCATTTCTAATAATAAACTAGTGTTCTTATTTGTTAGTTCTTAATGCATAGTCCCTAATTCTTACTTCTTTATTTGTTGCCGTATTTCGTAATAGACATACAACGAAAAACAAATCTCGAACAACACATTTCCAAATACAAATCTTGCAAAACATTTCTTCAAAAACATGTCTATAATGAAATGTAAATGTAGATTATTGTTTTAATTTACTAAAATAAATTTTATCTTTATATTAAGATGTAATTAAGTTAAACAAAAATACATCTTACAAATCTGATATGACAAATGTCTGATTTGAAAATCAAATATTGATTTTAAGATTCAAATGTTAATTTTAGTGTACAAATGTCGAAATACGACAACAAATGAAGACATAAGAATTAGAAAATGAAATGAAATGGGGTTTAACGTCCTACTGTTCTGCTCCTATACTGGGCTAATGAAGACGGGCATACGCCATACAGTGTGCTATGAGGGAAATTTTGCCCGGGTAGCGGCACTATCGCCTACTCTTATATCGAATTCCAACTGCCAAGGAATCTTTTACGTGCATTCCAATGTATACACCTCGGTTTTTCGTCTCATCCGAAGGACTAGACAGCTGTCCTTGTCAGTCCCTCCGTTCCGCACCACTGACAAGGGGAAACCACGTCGGAAAATCCAGATGAACTTTCTCGGCCAATGCAGGGATCGAACACCCGACCTCCAGGCTAGCGAGCCACCGTGGCTCCTATAAGAATTAGGGACTATCAATTAAGAACTAAGAACATTGAATAAAGGGATGTTTGGTCTTCCATAATATATTATAGATCTTTCTGTTTTGTATACTATTTCATTTAAATTCCCGGGCGTGGTTCCCGCTTGTCAGTGTTGCAGGACCAGGGGCCTTGCAAGGGACAACGTATAGTTGTTCGGATGAGACGAAAAGCCGAGGTCATGTGTCCACACTGGCATACAAGTAAAAGATCCCCTGGCAGTTGGTATTCGATATAAGATTAGGCCATGGCGCCGCAGACCGGGCAAAATTTCCCTCATAGCAGACTCTATGACGTTAGCCTGTCTTCGGTAGACCATTCGGAACAGAACAGTAGGACGTTAAACCCAATTTCATTTCTTCTCATTTAAATTCCAATAATTTTTTTTTTTTGTCTTACAATAAAGTTATATCTACTTCATTATCTGTTGGCCAGTGTACTTCGTTGAAACCATTCTAACCTTTGTCAAGGCATCTCTAAGAAGCCCACACAAACCGTTTCGACTACGCAATTGCCAATGCCAAATGTATACAGGAGTTCACATTAAGAACATCGTGATCTAGTGTATTATTTAGATGTTCTTTGATTGTGTTAAACTTATGTATTAAATATCTTTTAGCCACGTGGCCTTTATAATGAATGGATGAACGCCCTGCTTTTCACATATATACAATCGAGTTCAACCTGGAATAATCGATTTTTTTTAATTGGCATTTTTATTACTATACATATTGGGAACTAATTAATACAGGATCAAGTGACCACCCAACTAATATATGTTTACGATCTTTATCCTGCTTTCACATTTTAGCATTTATACATACAAGTTAGTTGTTAAGAATGTCATAGTCTTTAGTATATGCTGTTAAGTTGTATTGGTTTTTTAAAAGAATTGCTTTATTAAAGATACATTATGGGAGATTAGATAAAGAGCTGACAGTAATCACTATAATAGTTAAAAACTAGATAATGTAAAGGGAATTTGCTGAAAATTTCAGTCAAATTGGTCCATTCTGAATAGAGATTTTAGCAATTGAATTTTCGGCCTCGCCACGATCATCATTACTAAAGTCGGAACGATAAAAAACATAGTCACGATTATCCATTTCATGATTAAATCATGAATGGAAGTCGACCAGCAAATAGGAACCTAATCCAATAAACATTGCGGGCTAGCCATGACATCGAGAGTTGATTATGTCCTGGATAAGTTAATTAATGTCTAATTAATAATTGGATAACATTTCAGGCCTAAAGAAAGACCTGCAATAGGCAGATTTAGCTCTTGCATAATGTATGTTTAATAGAGTTATCGTGTTATCGATAGATTCTGAGCGCCATGGAAAACGCATCACTTTTTTTTCCCAAATATTTTATTACTAGGTGGTTTTGTATGTATAATATCATGCAATACTATGATCTGTTGTTTCACACAATGCTCCCAAACGCAAACAATATCGGCCCGTGTGCACAAAAAAAAATTGCACGAGATTCACATGCAAAACCCAATATTCACGTGCAGCATTGTGTGTGAGCCCTTTAAAAACATGTTTTCAACTTAATGTGCAGTACATGAACTGTGAAACGTCAATCTGTCGTAATTTGTTGTTGGACGTGTGAAGGAATCGAGCTAGAGATGCCGAGACTTACTGAAAATCAACGGAATGAAGCCATGGGAATGTCCAGGGCTGCATGTCTACACGTGCTATAGCAAGACACTTCAATTGTCATCAGTCCACTATTGTAAGGTTGGTGGAACGTGTTCGAGTTACTGGATCAACACGTGACCGTCAACGTCCTGGTCCACAACGCGTTACAACGCAGGCTCAAGACCGCTACATCCGGGTCACTCATCTGCGTGACAGATTCCGCCCAGCGACTCGAACAGGTGCAGCAGTCGTCGGAAGACAAGGACCAGTAAGTGCCAACACCGTAAGACGTCGTCTAAGAGAAGTAGGAATCATCACCGTCAGCGGCGTTTGATATGGGCTCAAGGACACCAGACATGGAGAAGAGTAGACTGGCAAAGTGTGCTCTTTAGTGATGAGAGTCGCTTTCATCTTTATCACGCTGATGGCCGTCAACGTGTGTGGAGACGTCTTGCAGACTGCTGCTTCTTCGAGCATTTTGTTATACGAAAAACTATGTGATGCTTTTTCCATGGCGCTCAGTATTTATATTTCGATATTTGTTGGTAGCCACTGACTACCTTTAGTATGTAATAGCGTTTACGATAATAACAAATGCAGCTTCGATATAAAATAGAATTCACGATACAGTTTTATGCAACAGTTCATATTTATAAATTACACTTCAAATGTTTTTAAGACTAGTATGGGTGATGGTAACAGAGAATTTCCCTCTACCAAAGAACTGACATGTACCTTATTGGTCCAATTTCAGCATGCGTATATAAGGCCCAAAGAGAATGCCCAGGGTGGTTGGTTGGAGGTGTGAGAGGGGGCTGCTTTATCGCCACCCAAAAGAAAAATGTATGAGTAGATTTTTAGAGCAGTTTTTTTATGGTAGATCGCGTTTTTTGTGTGATTATCTGGTGTTCGATTGAGAGCTTGTGATACTGTTGATGAACATGTTATACATTAGTAAAACATTATTGTCTAGAA